CGTTTATGGGGTGGCAACCCCAAGGTGCTGATTCTTAAAATGCACTACCGCTTTATAGGTATTCCCCCCTTAGTATAGTTGTTAAAACTGCAATGAGTAGAATGCAAGGTGGCTCTGGACCCAGAATCATGTTAGCAATAGCCCCTTTTCCAAACAATCATGTGCGGCATTACCCTTGCAAAATATAATGAAAATGCAGATCTCAATCAACCTTTTATTTTCGTCTTTCGACCTTTAACTTCAAATGATTAGAATTTATTACCATCCGCATTATGAGAGGACAACTTAATTATTCCATTAAGCCCTTCCGTAACCTGGTACCGATCTAAGATATCCGCTCGAGAAAACCCGTTTGAAATGCAACCCCGCGTGTACTTTGACATTACAAACTATGCGACCTTTAAGCCTTTAGACTACTTGACCTTTGTTTTAATTTATAAATGGCCAGTTGAAGCAAAGCCCTTTACCGCAGTTCCTGATAGCAAACGAGTGAAAACGGACGTTTGCGAGTACATACGCCCATGTTTAAAATGTCAAAGGGCGAACCTTTGACCTTCTGGTGTAATCACCCAACACCAGAGTGGATATTGGAACTCGTGATTGATTTTAAATTATATCAGGGTGTAATAACTGACAACATCATATCCACTAATTCTATTTATGTTTCTTCCAAAGAATTTAGGTAAACACCTACGTATGTTTATCCGATTTTAATAAAGACCGCCTGAATTCGTTCTCTACACCAGAGCAAACGGTTACGCCGATGCTCAGCTATGAGAGGTAGCACCCAATGAGGGCGGTAAGAAAAAAGGCCAAGCTGTCTAATTAGGCGATATACCGTACGCAATAGGTTTAAAATGTTGGAGGATATCATTTACGAATTTGAAAGGTTCACACAGAAACCTAGAAGATCACACTTGAAGTCCTAACAAATACTTTATCAGCATTAAAATATTAAAGCCAAAGTTCCTTCAGTTCCAAAGCATTCCAATTCAAAACTTGAAAAATGCGATATCAAGGTGCCTAGATAGTCGAGATTCAATTCATTGATATTTCGTTATTATTTATAATTTGTTTGATTCTATTTAGTTTGCTTGCCCTATAAATAATACCGCGGTTTTTTAATCATCCTGTATGCACATATATGTACCTAAACATCTCTGTGCATGAACAACAATTCAATGTCAAGTGCAAGTTTATTTACAATAGCTATAATGTTAACAGATATGATGTAAAGGTAATGCGTTTAAGCTGTGACCTTGGTTATGCATCATCTATTCCGACGAATATGCATAAATTATGTAGAGGCGAATTAAATTTATCTGGCTCAGATAAGTGCAAAATAACTATGATGATATTGTTCCCGATCGAACCTATAATTTCCTCTATCATAGCATTGGTTAAAGATACATCCAAAAAAATCTTCATCCAGGATAAGTTTTACAGCTATGTTTCTGCATAATATCAAACCAATACTTTGAGAAAGTTAATGTTTCATATAATTAACCTTTTCAAAGTAGATTTGTAATTATTGTGGAGAAACGTAGCTGTGACAAATTCTTATAGATGACACCATAGTATCTCCTTTCATCTGCCATCCTAAACGTAATTCGTACCTTCCGAACTGGCCGATATGACTGCTCCTTTCGTCAATAGGATATCGAGATTCAATCTACCTGAGTAGGCCTTTTCCAGTTTTACCAAATTTGGGCAGTTCAAAAATTGGATTAACAAAGTTCCTTCAACCTCCTCATAGCAACCAGGCAGAATAAGAGATATTTAATTCCCGATTTACGTACTCTCCACATGGTAGAAACATTTTATTTTATTTACCTGTTCTGCGAACATATTTATTGTTATTTTCGCCACTTTATGTTATGTGCAATGTCTGTGAAGGTGTTAGTGAACTTGATGTTTTCAGTTCCACAAAAAGCCATCTTAACTGCTCACGTACCGGTTACAGTTTTTTATTTCGTAAAAATGACTTCTAATTTAAGTTATCTGTTCAGGCAGTGTATGGGTTGTAAGTAAATGATAATTATAGGCATTTTTTAAGTATATATGTTGTTATGAGACTTTTAAGGGTGACATTCAAACATTGTTAACATTAGAGTACCTTAGTGCTCTTATTTTGAAGCCTCGTTACGATTACCGTTATTCTGAGTTTGCGCAGTAGCAAGACAATCCTTTGTTTCCCTTTATGAAAGTAAGAAACTCTTATATTTACGGAAAATGAGGAAGAGTTTATCTCGTAAGATTATTTTTTCATTTTTCAGCTCTGTTGGCGGAATTCAAAAAGTCTTATTAAGATAACTTCAAGTTATAAAAATATATTGATTGAAACAATAGAAATATGGGTTTTAGATCGCAGGTCAATATTAATGCAAGGACCAGGCAATGCTCTAAATGGACTTAAGACTCAGTCATCAGGATTTTTGTTATATAGTCAATGTGGCGATGTACGAGTAGCTTTTTGTTCAAGTTCTACTGATTTTGTGGTCATTTGTCGTTTTGTGATTTCATTCTTTTCCTGAACGACTTTGAGTAGTCATAACACAAATATGGGGTTGTCCAAAACGGACGCAGGAAAGTAAACGCATATTAAAACAAGAAAGATTGATATTCAAATCAAGTTGGGTACTTTATTTTGAAGGTTCATTTATACCATTTATCTATGAAAAATAATATCGCTCAAATGTTCACCATGACTGGATTTACAGACGTCCACGCGATGGTCGAAATTTTCAATGACATTTTGCAACATGGTCGGTTCTATGGCATTTATCTCGGCAATGATGTTGTTTTTGAGTTCTTGGAGGGTGGCTGGTTTGTTGACGTAGACTTTGCTTTTCAAATATCCCCATAAAAAGAAGTCCAAGGGAGTCAAATCGCACGATCTTGGTGGCCATGGCACATTTCCTCTGCGCGAAATCACGCGATCACCGAAGAAGGACTGCAATCGATGGATATTGACGTTGGTTGTGTGGCATGTTGCACCGTCTTGTTAGAAATAAACATCGTCCATTTCCATTCCTTCAAGTTGCGGCAAAAAATAGTCCTCTATCATCACGTGATATCGCTCAGAAGTGACGGTAACGGCGTCCCCGGCCGCATTTTCAAAAAGGTAAGGTCCGATGATGCCTTTTGACCACAATGCACACTTTTTGAGGATGCATCGGCTGCTCTTGATACTCACGGGGATTTTCGTTCGCCCAGATGCGGCAGTTTTGCTTGTTTACCGTCCCATTCAAAGTGAAATGCGCTTCGTCGCTGAACATGATTTTTGATGAAAAATTGGCATCAATTTGACGGTGTTCAAGGAGCCAATCTGAGAACGTTCGGCGCGAAAAATGGTCGGCCCGACGCAGCTCTTGCGTCAATTGGATCTTGTAGGCGTGTACATTCAAATCCTTGTTTAGAATGCGGAGCAAACTGGTTCTCGAAATGCCCAATTCTTGGGATCGACGAGTTGTTGATTGTTTCGGATCGTCTCTCACACTCTCCTTCACAACAGCAATATTTTCCGGTGTGCGAACGCTCCTTGGCCGGCCAGATTTGCCACAGAACCTGTTGCCTTGAATTTACGCACCAGACGACCGATGGTTGTTTCGTTTGGGCGGTTGTTGCGACCGAAATGTTCACGAAGCGCGCGAAACGTTTTTTTTATTTTTGCACCATTTTTGTAGTGCTCTTGAATAACTTTAATGCGGTCTTCAATCGAATACGACTCCATAGCGATCAATGGTAAACATTCAACTAACAAAATGACATGTCGTTGACAGAAAACAAAGATGGCGTCTATGTCAAATTGACGTTTACTTTCCTGCGACCCTATTGGACAACCCTATTACCGAGACCTTTTTTAGTGGAAGCAACAACAAGATTCTGTAATGTAGGAGTCAGCTTCATGTGAAAGAAATAAGAAACCTGTCATGACTGTCAGCAGTCAGTACTATCAACTTACCCTGGTTCATTTTAGTGCTCATAAAAACCGATCGTTATTTGATATCACTGTCGATGACGGCTACTCTAATTTGTTTCGCACTAAAAACTCTCTATTGATGAAAAATTCTCCATGAGGATGCCCAAATGTTTACCGTAATCATTTACAATTTCCAACCAAGTATGATCGCAGAAATTTACTTAGTAGTGAGAAATACAGTCTCAATTTTCCTTTTATAGAAAACTGTTCATCCTTAAGCATGACTCAACTTTCCAAGTTAATATCACCCCTTAAGATTCTTCGTTCTAAAAGCGGTGGTTAACATTGGTTTGGAGATATTGTGGTGGAATGTTTAATAATAATCAATGCTTCAACTCACGAAGATTAAAGATAGGAGGTTAAGCACATCGACTGAGGGTGATGCCAAAATTGTACGCAAAGTAACTTCAATTTTGACTTGCATGTAGAAATATTAGATAATATTAATAAACCAACAAAGCAAGGCAAGCAGTAAAATGAAAAAAATTAGTATTTTGCGATGTGTGTGATAATTATATGTCGTTATTTGTTTGTAAATAAATCAAAGACTTGATCAACATAAATATTGCTGTGAAAACAAATTAATTGAACCACTTTAAATTTTAATCAAGTCATCTAAAAAAATGTAATTAACCATGTGACAGCTAACAAGTTTAATTGCTCTATTTAAACAGTTTTGTTTTGAAACTAGTTTGTATAAGCTAAAACGCAATCGTTTAATTAAATGTATTAAACCGTCTACCTAGATTAGGTACACCAATTTACTTGAAATTTATGAACAATCAAAATGAGTTTACCTGTGCCAAATAAAACAATTCAATTATATTTATTAAATTTGTTTACTTAGTTTAGGTAAAAGTATTTGCCTAGTTTTAATGAATCATTATCATCATTCAGTATTGGCCTCGTACAAATACGTGTTGTTCCTTAAGCAGTTCAACCTCCTATCTCTAGTCTTCGTGCTTTAACTATTTGTATAATCATTAGATATAATAAGATAAAGTTACTGGTGACTGACCTCCCTCATTGTGTCTGTGGACGACGAGGCAGCTTGCTCCTCTTCAAGGCATTTAAGTCCTGCAACAAAAATTTTAAATCAGTCAACAAACAAAGCGCATTTTAGCATACTTTCAATGCATACCATAAATAATACCATTATCAATAATCTACTCCTACTCATGTGTAACCTTGCTGATGATTTTGTACAATTTTCGTCGCAATTTATAAATAACATAGCCTCTCATTTTTTCACTATGCTGAGGCATCCCGAAAGTGCGTCATCTTGTAGTTTGAAAGGAAAAACTTTTCAGACGTTGACTGTCCACCACATGACAGTGGCGGACTATTCAAGCTTTCGCAAAATTTCCTATCTAACAAGGATTTCAATCAATAAACGGGATTTGAAGGTTGCTCTAGCCCATGAATCAGCATCACTGACGTCATTTCTGTTTAAGTAAAGATATTTGAGATTGTGATCAACTGTTATGACAGATGTCAGACAATCAGTTGATTGTTCTGCCTAAACGGGAACGCGCATTTAAAAGGAGCGACCCGATGGTTAACCTTTACGATACTTGTCATTTGCAAGTGTCAGTTGTCAGATGTTTTCGATCGTAGCGTGCTGGCTGTCATTTGGTTACATGCAAGGGAGTCCAGTCCAAGAATTTCCCTTCTATTATCTTCGCTTCGCTTCCCTGCAATTAGTTTGTACCTTAACGCGTACTGTAACAGGTTAAGCACCAAGGACATTAAAAAGAATTGAAAATTTTCTACTAACCACTTTCCTGACTAGACCGCACGCTTATCTAAACATATTAAATGGGTATGATCAGTTCTGCCAACCTTTCGGACACGTTGCAACGAAAAGTGCATAAAATCATTTGGCACTATATTCTGACAATTGTCACAAGTGTCCTATAAAAGCACTTCGATGTTGGCGAGTACGTCGGTGACTGTTAAAAGGAATTACGCAATAATAACAGTAGAATCAAAATTGAGATCAACAACATCTTCTTTAAACAATGCGCTTTGTTTTTATTTTTACTTGTCAATTTTTTTCTCATTTATCGGCCTTGGGACTGTGGCCTCGCACGTTAATTGGACAGGAAATATTGTAATCACGAAACATTTCGAAAATGGGATCTGTACATAAAAAGAACATTAATTCATTTTCCGTCTGTTTGTCTGTCTGTCCGTCCCCTAATCCTTGGAAAGTACAGCTAGGATTCTGACAAAATTTCAACACAAGGCTGTCAAGGACTAAAATGTTTTGTAGTTCCTTTCATAGCTAACGTCTTCCTTAGAGGGTCTGAACGGAGTGGGAGGTGTAAAATCAATCTACTCGACGCCATTTTTCACATGGAATGATTCAAATGAAATGTCATATCTTCGCCATAAATCTACTTCGTGATCTGTTCGTAGTATTTTAATTATTATTTTTAGTATTGCAACAAGTAGACATTTAGTTCCCAAAGTTCCGCCAGTGACCGAGAGTTGGCTAGTTTCGTCTAATATTAGTGCAAGGTCAAGTTGCATGCACGAAATGACGTCAAAATTAGTGTTGCCTTTATTTATCGAATGCATTTCCTACGGTTGTCTCTGTTCTTTGTTCGGGACCTTGTTAGCGTTTGGCACACTTGTGGGGCCCCCACTTTACGGTGATCTTCAAATTTGCGTTCAATGTTATGCGATTTATGTATACAGAGTGGCCCAGACTGATTTGATCAAAAAATATATGGTACTACCTGTTCCGTCTTTATTCTATGGATACAAGGGGTACGTGATCAGAGCCCCGGCGTTATGGGGATCCTCAAATGACCAAAAATCAAACGATATTGAAAAAATGCACTGACGGCTTTAAGAATTTGTCTAGGGGGCGCAGTGGTACTAGCGGGACTTGGTGGAGGGGTGCATGCTTTAAGTAGAGGCAGAATTGGAGAGCGGGGGTGTGATACGTCTATGCAATCTAGGTCCAGGGCCAACAAGGTAATTTTCGCACCAAGATACAGCGATATGTACCGCTTTATTGAAAAAATTGTGTCAAGTAGGTTGACTCCGTTCCTCTTACGCAACGCAATTCATAAAGGTTTATATATATATATATACATATAGGTGAAAAATTAAAGCTTCCGCCTTTTGTTGGGTACTTCGACCAAATTTAAGCAAAGAGGACTCTTTATACTTTTTTTAATTCTCTCTAGCTTTCAATGGACTTTGCCATCATCATCAGGAGCTGCAATTACAATGATAATAGTAGCAACAAAAGTGTAAAATGAATTTAAATCGAATCAACTTACAGTAGTATGTGAGGATGTTGCTAATTGTTGTTTTCGTATAGGATGAGGGAAACGTCCAGTAACATGGTGAGAGCTGTCGGTTTAACAATTTCTTACATAACATTCTGAAAATCACATCATCTGAAGTGATTTGGCAACGTTTTGGCACACGCCCACAATTCGTTCCATCTTTCAACACACATTGACAACCTTCGGCCTTCTGTCAAAGGTTCATCTCACTCATTATTCCATGACCACCATTTTGTGCAATCATCAAGTGGCTTCACGACGTAATGCTCTAATGTTTTCTAAATAATTTTTAATCTGTCTTTAACTTGTCTTGTCATATTTTATATAATTTTAACCATTGTACCATGTATCCAGCTATCACCATGTTACTGGACGTTTCCCTCATCCTATACGAAAACAACAATTAGCAACATCCTCACATACTACTGTAAGTTGATTCAATTTAAATTCATTTTACACTTTTGTTGCTACTATTATCATTGTAATTGCAGCTCCTGATGATGATGGCAAAGTACATTGAAAGCTAGAGAGAATTAAAAAAAGTATAAAGAGTCCTCTTTGCTTAAATTTTGTCGAAGTACCCAACAAAAGGCGGAAGCTTTAATTTTTCACCTAACTGGTCTAGACGACAATGACCACGTCTCAAGTTATATACATATATATATATATATATATATATATCATGTATAACAATGGTATTCAATAGATCATACCAGTCAAACAGGCTCTTAAAATTGGTCCACACCACACCTAGGAACTCTGCCTGCCGCGACACTTGCAAGCCCAGCATGGCATTGCAAACACTGATACACGCTTCAACACGATATCCCTCAGCATTCGAAACAGACACACGAACGCTCGTTGAGTTGTCCAGCACGCGTATATCCCTATCATTAAAGTTTTAAGGGCGAATGTACGCATGAAATATGTTCATTAGGTATGTAGAACATCCAGTTTTTAACCATTAAAACTGCATTAAATTTATGTACTTTTTCTTTTTCTGTACTTACATGAGCAATAAAAGCAATTTATTATTATTATTATTATTATTATTTTTTCTGGAAACGATAAGGATCCCTTGGAACCTTAACAAAAGATGCAGTTTTAATTTTTTTTTAGTGTTTTTGCCTGTAGCTCCGCCACCCATGGACCGATTTTCAAAAACTTTATAGCTTTTTCGTCATAGTAGTAACGTTGACTGAAATTTTTATCAAAATCCTAATAGTACTTACCAAGTTGTAGACAGACCTAGGATTAGCGGACACACAGATAGACAGACACACAGACCAACAGACAGACTGGCAGACACACCTACAGACGGACCGACAGACAGGAGGGCAGATAGGCAAGTCTGCATAAACGGGTGATATGGTTTTTCGTGATGCACATGTCATATAACGACCAAAAACATATTGTCTCGTTTTCGAATTTTTTCGTGATACTTTCTAGGCACTGGAAGTAAAAATGGCAGGTTTACGCATTTAAATCCGTCTTAGTAAGCAGAACCTGTTGACTGAACATAGACAGGAGGCGTTCTGCCGCTATGTCAGTGAAGTAGCTGAAAATTGTATGGCGAATAAATATCCAGACATACCGTCCCCATTTTTTCTGTTAACTTTCTAGCAACACTTTCACAAACTATGAATCAATTTTCTTAAACTGTGGAGAACGAGACATATAAAATTTAAAGGTCGTGAAAGGAGTTACACTTTTAAAGATAAAAATTATAAATTATGCATTTTGCTAATTTTGGAGAGAATGAGATTTCTGTATCATAATGTTATTATACTTTTCTTAGAGGTATCATTCTCAAGATGTTTGGCAAAGTACACATTAACAAAATTTTTGAGGTGATTAGTTTTCGTCGGTTTTTTATTCCGATTTTAAAAGCCTTGTGATCATTGAGTGCCTAACCCGAAAGTTATAGTATTTCGTGTACTGTCTAGAAAAAAATGCACTTAAAGCCATTGTCTTGGCTTGATGGATCAATTTTGCAAATATTACACACAAATTTACGAATAGAACTTAATAATAAAGTACTTAGCTGATTTTAAAATACATCAACTAATTGCAACTATCTATGAAGCTATGTACGCCAAATAGACTCAGAAAGAAGAATATGCAGCATTATCACAAAGTTTTAATTAAATAACTTTTGTGTCGCATAAAAAATCAGTTACAAAATGTCTTGATAATTTATCTTGTCCTAATGCTTTTGAAAAAGTGGTATATTTTGAGAACAATAGATATTAGAGGGTCTAAAATTTTGAAGGCCACTAGAATGGTCTGCCCTTTTTCACAATCAAAATGGCTCCTTATATCTACTAACTTCAGTTTCATCGAAAATCAAATATGTGTTAGTTAATGTACTTCATGCTACTCGCTATAAAAATATGTGTTGGAAATGCCACAGTGATGAATAATACTAAATAAACAACAGCAAAATTGTCCAAGGATACATTCAAAATTACAAGGAAACGAAAACACATCACATAGAAACCGACACATACTTTTACGACAATAACAACCTCATACTGACCTAACCTTGCCTAAAGTACGTGAAAATTTTAAACTTCCCAGTAATGCACTCATAAATAATCATTTATCTAATAATAAACTTTGTAGTAGACAGTTTCACCTTGCCTTGAACTTGAGATTCACTTTTTTCTAGAAACTAGGAAACAACGACACCTACATGGGTAAAATCATCACTACACTATACTTATGAACATCTAAATTTAATTTTAGGAAAAAATCACCCTTGAAATGTCGAAAATTTGGGGAAAATTTGACTGAAAGTACGGTGAGAGTTAAAGGTCAAAGTTCAGGGTTTTAATGGCGGTATGATTAGAAAACTCACGTAGCATCAGAGAAAGTAAAAAAAAATGTCGAACTAACACAAAACGTTACCTCCGAACTGTGAAACTGGGTAAAGCTCGAAGCTTTGGGCGTCAACTAAGGCTGATTCGCACCATGGAAAGCCGTCGGCGCCATTTTGAATTTTCACTTTTGATGGAACCTTACGAGTTTTCCTCGGAACCAGAGACAGCGGGAAAACGCGTCATAGCTTGCGGAAAACTGCCACTGCACTAGCAATGTGCGGTGCATGTGCAGTTCTTGCCAATTTGATAGTGAAACCGCTCGCTATTTTTAGATGAATCAATAGCAAATTTTCATTATCACTCCAAGTTTAAATTTTTCGCATTACGTTGGGAAATCTCGTGTGGTGATAAGACTACTAAGGAAAGCGGAATTGCATCCGTAGGTTACGTTGGATTCATTTAATGTAGGTTATTATTTTGTTTTGTAGACGTAAACAATTGCTCGTTCAAGCCTACCTTGATTACTCATATTTTAAATGTAATGGACCTGTCGGTATTCTGTTTAACTACATCAATACAATGGCAAACTAACATAAATACACGGTGGAGAGTTGCCTTATATGCAAGGTATTCCATTTCTCCAAAGTGATAATTTAAATCAAAGATGATGAAGTTTGGTTCCATTTTTTTGCTGTTGCGTTGGAGACAACATATTTGAAATTCGTACAAATAGGATATGAAACCAAACATTTTATCAACTCTGAAGAATAAGCTTTATTTTTCTCATATCTAACCTCCTCTTTGGAAACAATATATTCCTACTCTGTAAAAATGAAAGTTATGTGAAATACCCCATTTTTTACAAATTATACGTTTACTACGAACAAAAAAACTATGCACCGATTTATTCGTCCTGGTCATACATGCTTTATGATTTCCTATTGCTTCGATATGTATCAAGGTAAAAAATACAGCTTTTTCTCAGCTTTCCATAGTTTGTTTTCAAAAAATATCCTTAGTAAGTAGTTGAACTGAAATAAGCGTCATAGCCTCTCTAGCCTGTATTTCATTAGGTATCAAAACAACCGACACTTCACTAAAAATTGTCTATGATTGTATGAAAGATAGACGCAGTTTTCGCATGCTCTTTCTGAAGGCAAAGTGAAATTTCTGTTAGACGAAAATATATATTTTCAGACAATGAATAGAATCAAAATTGGAAACAGAAGATATTAAGTTCAAAAACGCTATCAACGGTTATTTAATTCTACTCGAGAGGCAGTTTTCGCCATCTGTCGGTGGAAAGTGGAACTTACAGGGACGCTTCCGTTCTGCGACGTCCATTTTCTTCATGTTGGTAAGATGGTCGAATGACATGTTGCTAGACGAACATTGTAAACGTGTTCATAAATGCTTTTATCGTTGTTTGTCTGCACGCATGGTGTTATATTGTTGAATGGACATTATGAATACTGTAGGTTGTATTGCAAAGTTCTGTTTGTTGTTTTAAGGTGTGGTAAATTTCTCTTTGAGTAACACAAATCTTTTCAAGCGATTTGGAACATATCTTCCAAACAAGAAGTTTTACGGTATAGGGATTGCAAGTAGGCATATACAGTTTTACAACAAAGCTTCAAATATTATATATTTGAATGCTCAGATGAGTTTTTGATTAAAGGTTATCGTTTCATTATCAAATACATTTACATTGTGGACTAATTAACTATTGCATGTTGGTGAGTGTACTTAGTACCAAATATGAATGAAAATCATACTTTGAGGCCGAAAGCATACTCGTTTCTTTAGTTGAGGTATCCTTATTGTAAGAACGCTTCATTTGCTTTACCTCTTGAAGGTGACAGGAAAATTTACAGATGTGTTCCTTAAGTATTTATGTTGGTTCCTGAACGTAGACTCCAAATTTCTATTCAGTTCCGTCAGTTAAAAATTAACTCATTTGGTATGCATCCATTCGGCGTAATTGTACGCCATTTCAGATTTATTTACCACAAAAATGTAAATGCGGTGTTTGAAAATATTTGCAACAGTTAGAAGCACATATAGCTACGTTGAAGATTACAATTAAAAAGGGTAAAAGTAATAAATATTTACAGGCAGTCTTATGATATCTTGTGAAAATATCATTTCCTTAGCTGCTACTATGATAGTAGCAGTTCGTTTTCTGAATGGAGATTGGCAGAATCGATAAAATGTGAAGATAAAAGACGAAAAACAAAATTTTCAAAAATGCAGGTCATAATATTTGTATAATAATAATAATAATAATAATAATAATAATGTCTTTATTCCCACCAAAGAAAATACAAAACAAGTTGCAAAACCAGTCTTATAAGAACATATAGTGGGAGGGGCGAAGTTCGGCTTATCCGCTCTTCCACTTAACCCCTGGTTTTAGGTTACATCATAATAAGGTAAGCATATATATAAAAATGAGATAAAGAGCATATACATATATACACATACATATACATACATATACATATATACACATATATACCCACATATACATACATACATGTATAAGCAGTATCAGAGAATGGACCCTAGCGGCTAATTTGTAAAATGGTACTATAAAAATACATAATGCCTCCAAAGTCATACCATGCAATTCCCTGCAATGTAGCAGCGTATACGTTTTTTAAACAAATCAATAGAAAGAGAAGTATACTCTCGCGGGATATTATTATAAAGTTTGCTGATATTATACGAAAAAGATCTTTCGAATAAGGTGGTAGAATGAAAAGGCGGTGTCAGTTTAGTTTTGTTGCGGGTATTGCGATTGTGAGCTAAGTAACGGAAATGAATTTTTTCGTGTAAGTAGGAAGGTAGTTTTTGTATAATAATCTTATGGTATTGTACGAGGCTGTGAAGCAGCCTGCGTTGCTTCATGTTCAGCCAGCCAGCATCAGTAAGCTTTGCTGACACTGAATCGAATTTACTCAAACCAAAAATAAGTCTCAGACAAGAATTTTGCACGCGTTGTATTTTATCTGAAGTGAATTTAGTTAGACATTTGTCATAGACGACATCACAGAAGTTAAAATGCGACAAAACAAGAGAATTGCACAGTATGACTTTAGTTTTTTGGTTGATGTAAGATTTTTGACCGTATATCGTCTTTAAATTAGAATACGCCCTTCTGGAGCACTTGTTAACATGTTCCTCAAACCTCAAGTTTTTGTCAAGGTATAAGCCTAAATTACGCGCTATCGAGCTTATTTCTAAAGTATTGTTATCGAGGTTTATTTTCACCAGAGGTTCACAATGGTTTCTCCAATTTTTTGGCCCGAATAACATGACTGTACTTTTAGCCGGATTCAAGTCTAAGCATATATTTCGAGAAGCTTTAGTGAGACGATCAAGGTCTTTATTTATCAGATCAACAGCAGGCAATGTTTGAGCTGGAGGAAATGATAAGTACACTTGTGTATCATCTGCATAAAAATGAGCTTTACAAGAGTGAAGACTGAAGTATAGATTAGAGGTGTAAATAATGAACATTAGCGGACCCAGAATGGAGCCCTGAGGAACACCAATGGTCACTTTCAATGGCGCAGAGTACTTATCATTCAGCATTACCTGCTGTTGTCGATCGCTGAAGTAGCTTCGCATTAGAGACTCTGCATCGGCCGAGAATCCGTAAAAGTGGAGCATGGCTAAGAGTAGGTCATGATGTATCCTGTCAAATGCCTTCGTATAATCTAAGAGCACCAAGGCAGTCAGGTTACCTTTGTCAGCACTGCACAATACATCATCCACCACTCCCAGCAATGCTGTTGTACAGCTATGCGCCGGACGGAACCCTGATTGTGTATCTATAATGAGGTTATTCGTTCTTAAGTGTTCTCTTATCTGAACATCCATTATTGATTCAAGCAATTTAGATAATGTTGGCAATATACTAATATTACGCAAATCCTTGAGCTCAGATGGCTGAGCAACTTTAGGCAAAGGCACAATCAAAGCGTGCTTCCAACAAAAAGGAAAATAGCGACGCAATATGCATTCATTAATGATATGTGTCATGAAAGGAATAATTTTGGGGCAGCAATACAACAGCATTTCGGTATTTATCAAATCAGCACCAAATGCTTTGCTTTTGAAGCCAAACAAAGTATCTTTAACCTGATCTGTGGACGCCAAAGCGAATTCAAAGAGGGATACATTTGGTTTAACATTATTTTTATAAAAAGAAAATGTATCAGCATCAGGTTCTATACCTGCACTAGATAAAGACGTAAAGTACCGGTTCATTTTGTCAACATCAGCTAAATCAACTGGGATAGATGACCTGGGTGTCTTATTGCCAAAGTTCATAGCTTCTAAATCTTTCCATAGAGTCTTATAGTTCGTACTGTTAATTTTATGTTCCAAATGAATCTTTTTAGCATTATCAGTTGCTAATTTTACTATATTACGTAACTTTTTGTATTCCTCCCATTTCTGATCGCACCTTGATTTCCTATAGGCAGTGAATTTGTCATCTCTAAGTTTCATTAGAAATTTAATGTTATCAGTCAGCCACGGAGCTGGTTTTTTCGTAAACCTTGCCATTCGATAGGGTGCAAATCTGTCAAATAGCTCTAAAACTAATTGATTAAATATATTTAATTTCGTATCTATATCCTGACAATAAACTATCTGCATAAAGTCTACTTCATCCAGAGCAGTCTTAAAAGATTCTTGGTTGATATTTTTGAAATCTCTGTAGCTACGTAGTACAGGTTGTTTGGTTTCTACCTCATATTCAAGGACTATAGATATCAAACTGTGATCAGACAAATTTGGTACATTACATACATCACAAGTACTTGGAATATCATCAGAGCAAAAAAAGAGATCTAGCAACGTTTCGGAGGAGACTCCAAATCTGGTCGGCGTAGCTACTATTTGATGCAAACCAAAATTATTCAACGAATCATCAAATAACTTCACAGCATTACTGTTTTTATCGAGAAAATCAATATTAAAATCGCCAGTGCAAATCATTTTGTCATATCTCGGATATAACAAACTAAGTGAATCTTGAAACTGATTGATAAAATCATAAACGTTACACTTAGGAGGCCGATAAACGACTCCAAAGCAAAAACTCGTCGCTTTAATTTTGAATGTAACCCACAATTGTTCAACTGAAGAGGTGATGTCAATAACGCTGCATCTAATTTTGTTAGTTATATAAATCAGAACACCGCCACCTCTGGAGTCAACTCGATCGTTCCTAAAAAGAGTAAATCCATCCAAAGATATGAGATCATTGTCTACATTTTGATT